CAAATCCCAAATACTAGTAATTTGGGATTTTGGCGTTCCAAATCCCAAATGATTTGGGATTTGGGCAACACGTATAACTTGTACAGAGTCTTTTGTTTTCTTTATACATAGCAAGAGTTATCATTATCAATAATGATGTAATCAATAATATCATAATCTACAATAATAATATAATATATCTAATGATCAAGAATTACAAATTCTTAGAAATGCTGTTATTATATTATCTTAACAAATTGATAATATAAGAGATAATAATTATATGAATATATTAAGAAAAAATATATCTCCTGATAATGATGTTATTGTTATCATTGATAATAGTGATGATAATAATAATAATAATAATAACAATAAAAATGATAATGATAATAGTAATAATAATAGTAGTAGAAATGATGATAATAATAAAAATAATAATAGAAATAATAATAATTTTAAAAATAATAGTAATAATAATAATAATAGAACTAATAATTAATTATTATCACCAGTTGTTATTCAAAATCTGAAAAGAAATAAAAAGCTTAAATCTATAGATAAAAGTTTTAAAAAAACTTTACATATAATTAATCCTTTTTTTTATTATTTAATATTCAATTATATATTATATTAAATTATATAAATTCTATTAAATAAAATAATAAGAATTATTAATGATTTGAACACAAACATTTTTGATATATCCAAACTCTATTCTGAACAATTTCAATATATAATTAAAAATTTTTTACTAATAATTAAAAAAATAATGAATCTTTTATTACAAGTTACTTCAGAAAAAAATTTTAAAGATTGTGAAACAACTTTACAAAAGTAAACATAAAATATAGATAAAATAGTTAAAAGAAAACTTTAATGAACTAAACAAATAACATTACATAAATATTAGACAAGAACAGGTAATATATTTTAATTATAATTATTAATATTATTATATCATGAAATTTAATTAATTTTAAAATCACTTTTTCAAAAGAAAAATAAATAGGAGACGTAGAAGACTACAACATATAATCTTAATAAAAGATAAAATACTTATAAAATATTGTCTTTAGAAAATTAGTAATAAAGAATTCATTAAAGAATACAAAAGTACAATATACCATTCAGATTTACAATTAAATAAATATTTATCTGAAGATGAACAATTGATAAATAAAGAATGACAATTGAAAAAAAGAAAAAAAAATATCAATTCAAATTTAATTATTAAAGTAAAAGACAAAGTATAGAGATTAACCAGAGTAAGTGTTAATATTAAATTTACTATATATAAATAAATATTTTTTTAATATTTTAACTATTAATTATTTATTTAGGTTAAATGAATATTATATAAAATCAATGAATTGAACAAAAATTTAATATCAGATTAACTTGTAAAAAGTACTAGACTACAAATTCGATAAATAAAAAAAGTAAACCAAAATCTGATATTTCTAATTGGTAGATATCTACTAATTGGAATTTAAATAAGGATAAAGAAACAATTTAGATGATATTAATATCATTGATGATAATAATAACAACAACAATAACAATAATAATAATAATAATAATGATAATAGAAATGGTGCTTCTCCAATTGCTACTATAGCAGGTACTATTGTTACTATTATTACAGTAGTATAATTTTAATTTTAGCAATAATAATAGTATATAATATTATTTTAGATATTAATAATTTTTATATTATTTTAAATATTAATAATTTCTAGATTTTTTTTTTCAATTGTATTTTGTTTTTATGATAATAATATTAATAACAAATAAAATAAAATCAATAAAGTAAAGTAACAAATTGCTTCTAATAATAAAAAAATTAAACAAATTTTTATAGCTAATCATAAATCATCTTAAAAATTATAAAAACTAATTACAAATTATCTTAAAATTGTAAATGTTAATTACAAATTATCTTAAAATCATAAAAGTTAATTATAAATCATTTTAAATTATATTATCTAATTACAAATTGTCTTAAAATCATAAATGCTAATCACAAATTATCTTAAAATAATTATAAATTATCCTGAATTGTAAAAGTTAATCACAAATCATCTTAAAATCATAAATGCTAATTACAAATCATTTTAAATCATGAAAACTAATTACAAATTATTTTAAATCATGAAAGCTAATTAGTAATTATAAAGGTTAATCACAAATCATTTAAAATCATAAATGCTAATTACAAATTGTCTCAGAATAATTACAAATTACCTTAAATTGTAAAAGCTAATCACAAATTATTTTAAAATCATGAAGGCTAATCACAAATCATTTTAAAATTGTAAATGCTAATTACAAATTATAGAATAATCATAAATCATTTTAAAATTATGAAAACTAATCACAAATCATCTTAAAATTATAAAGACTAATCACAAATCATCTTAAAATTATAAAGACTAATTATAAATCATCTTAAAATCATGAAAGTTTAATTACAAATCACTTTAGAATTGTAAAAATTGTGAAGGCTAATTATGGATCATCAAGAAATTGCCATGACAAAATATTTTAAATCAGCTGAAATATGTTCAAATCAGATAAAAATTACCTAAAAATCTGCTGAAATATGCTCAAATCAAATAAAAATTATTTAAAAATCATCTTGGTTGATTTAAAAATTGGAAAATCTGATTTTAAAATGATTTGAACCAAAAAATCATCAAAAATCACCAAAAAAATCAGTCAAAATCAGATGTCTAATTTTTGACCATTACCATTTGATACAGTAATTTTTTTATATTTGACTAGTGTACTTTGATCATGTCTTACTACATTATAACAAATAAACATGATAACTAAGATGAAGATATAATTCAGATCCTAGTATAAACTTGCATCTCTAATAGACTTCATGCACTATAGGAATTTATTTGTGTTTTGTTTTTTCTAAATGAGTTATTGTTTACTAAATTAGTTGATTTTGTGATTTGTCAATTTTCTTCTAAGAGTAAGCTAAGTACATGTTTTTTTGGTGGATAAGAGGATGTGTCTGTTTCAGTTATATTATTTCTTCTTGCAAAAATAACTATTTCTATTTCTTCTATATTTTCATCAGTCAAAGCTTCTATAGTTGTTTAAGCTTTTGAAGGTTTCTTTTATTTTTTTTCTTTATATCTTGTTCTTAAGTATCTGAGTCTATTGCTTTAACAAAGTATTTCTTATTCTTGTTGGATATTATTTTGCTGTCAAAATTAACCAGGGTAGTTTCACCATAGTTTTCTACATTTTTGGTGAGTTCTTCTGGTATTGAAAGTATGCTTTGAAGTGATAAGACATGTAACATATTCTTGAAGTTCTGGTAGTTCCGTTGTCACTTTTGAAACTTCTTTTTTGATAAAAATTGTATTCACGAGATTTTTAACTGACCTTATAAAAAAATTAAAAAATAATTTTTAATTATTAGATTGAACTATTGATTTATTCTTAATAAAGAATTAAATATATATTTTTTTTTCCATTTTTATATTCTAGATCAAAGTTTTACAAGGTTTGGATCTTGATCCCATTTTTAAGAAATATAAACAAAAGCTTATTATGAATATTATGAATCCAAAAAAATCAATAAATAATGAATAAAACAAGGAGGAATGCAATGATGCCAGAATAATGTCATCTCGGGTTTTTCCATGTTAGTTTCACATCTGTCATCGGAACTTGGTGAATTCCTTGATCAAGTGAAAGAATGAATAAAAATATTTTTGAACAATTTTTTTTTTTTCTCCGTTTGAACGTGTCTTTTAATTATAAGATTTTTCATCAAGTAATTTGATGCTATTTATGAAATCAAAATTACAATCGTTTAAAAAAATAATTATTACAAAGTGGTGATCTGTATATAGTATTGCCAATCTATTTTTTTTCTTTTAATAAAGCACAGCACACAAGTGTACATACATTTAAAAAAAGATAAAAACCAAATTTGAACAAATTTATTTAAAAACTTTTATTAATATTGTAAATACAAAAATAAACTAAACCTTATATTTAAATATTGGCTTATATTTAATATTAGCCTATAACAGCTATAACAGATAAGCTTACAAAATTATAGGTGGGCCAACACTAGTTTTAGCCTTTCGCCTGAGTGTCATTTGTATTAAATGGGATTGTATTATACAGTACATTAAGCATTGGTCACGTATTACGTCAGACTCTCAAATTTCGATATTATAAATGTAACCAAATATTAAAATGTTAAAAAAATTTTTTTAAACGCGTTCCGAATAATCTCATAATAAATTCATGGAAAAACTTCAAAGTATATTATTACGCCCTGAGATCGCTAACGCTTTAAAATATTGTACGAATAGTTTAAATAATTTTTATTTTATCGTCTGGAAATTATTCTTTTTCAAATTATAGGATAATAAGAAATAGAATTAAATATAAATATATAAATATATAAATATATATATATAGCAAATTTTGAAACTGTGGCTGACGTACTGCACCATAGTGAGGGTGATCTGATAAAAAAATTAAAATTAAGAGAAAAAGAAGTATCTGAACTTATAAATTCAACTGTACAAGAGATAATAAAAACTCGGACAATTTCTTATCCTCCTAAAACTGTATTAAGGTTATTAAATGAAGATGAGAAATTTCTTAGTACAGGTGATAAACAGATTGATAGAATTCTTGGTGGAGGTATCTTATCAAAGGGAATTACAGAAATTGTAGGTGAGAGGTAATTGTCAAAAATTAAAATTTTTATTATTTCTAAATTTAAGATGAAAATAAAAACAGATGAAACGTGATATTATTAAATTTATATATTCTTATTTTATTTTATAAAGTTCAGTGGGTAAAACACAATTGAGTTTACAACTTTGTTTAACGGTTCAATTACCAAAGGAAATGGGTGGACTGAATGGAGGTTTGTGATTCGATCAAATTATCAAATTCTCGAGTAAAATTTATAATAATAATAATAATAATAATAATAATAATGATGATGATGATGATGATGATAATGATAACAGGAGTGGTTTACATTTCCACCGAAAAAAGTTTTCACCTAAAACGTTATTATCAAATGATTCCATTATTCCAACAACAATATAGTTGTATGAAGGAAGTAGATTTGGCCAAAAATGTTCATTGCGTGACAGTTTCAAATCTAGAAACGCAGAGAAATGTTCTTTTTCATCAATTACCTATTCTTCTTTCTAGCAACAATATACGATTAATAATTATTGATTCTATAACAGCAAATTTTCGTGGTGGTTTTGAAACAAAAGAATTTATGAATCTTCGTCGACGATCATCAGAAATTTATCAAATAGGTATTAAATTAAAGGAAATAAGTGATAAATTTAATGTACCTATTGTTTGTGTAAATCAAGTATTGGATAATTTCACATCAATGAATACCGATGAAAATTATTTTAATGAAGAAGTAAAAGAACATTATGAGTATAATCATTATCAAAAACAATTATTAATAATGGGTGGAGATGGAACGAAAAAAATTCCAGCTTTAGGATTAACATGGTCTAATACGATAAATGTAAGAATAGTACTTTCTAGACCGAAGCGAATTTTGTCAGAAGGAAGTAATAATGACAATAAGAATCCAAGAACTATTGCATTAATAATGGCACCATATGCACCTAGACGTTTTGGAGAATATTATATTGATTCAAGTGGAATACGTGGGTTAATTATTTAAATATAAATATATATATATATTAAAAATGTAATTTATTTATTAATGGACAAAAATATCATTTATCAATATTCATTATATATAATTAAATATTAATATTCACACAAGTTGCTTAGAAGGACAGTTTTCTTTAATTGTGATTGTTGTGATCAATTTTTTACCAACACATTCTAAAAATGCAATTCATTATAATTGATCAGATCAAAACAGATAACAGAAAGGCAAATGAATTCATAGAGACGTTACTAACCTCTTTGTCATCATCACTATTAACAAATTCATTTGATATATTTCCTTTTGCACTCAATATAACTCTTTCTTAATCCATTAACGAAAGTCCCATCATTTCGTAGACCCGCTTATATTTACATTTATTAGTCCCACCACTTGTAATTGTTGGATTAACTTGCCCACGCGAGTGATATCTATTTTTAATGGGTTCTTCGTAACGTTCTTTTAGAAACCCTGTAATACACCAATCACCAATCATCAATCACCAATCCCTATGAATTTTTTGACACATGATATGTATGTACTGGTTCACATTAGATCGGCGAATTAATTCTAAATTTTGGTGCAACCTTTATAACAATCGTTCAATTTTTTTTTTTTACCTAAAATCTTCGCCCAAAGAGCTCTTAACCCCTCAGATGATGAGTGGTAGTGTAGGATACATTGGATCCAAAATTAGTTTAATTTCACGTTCAGATATAAGATATGTCGGGATCCTTCATTCCATAAATTCTACCGACTCGACTGTAGCACTTGAACAAGGTTTGTGTTCGGAACTTTATTGTTTGAATTGTTGGCAGTCTTTCAGATCGTGTTTAAAAGTTTCACATAAATAATGATTTTATGTAACTTAAATCTTGAGTCCAATTATTTTAGAAATAACTTCTTATTTAAGATTATATAAGATTATTACTTTTTAAAGATTTTCTTATTTCCATCAAAAAAATGAAATTAACTATACAAAGATTTCATTAAAATCAATTTTAAATATAATTTATAATATTTTATTTTTATTTTTATTTTTTAAGTACGTTCTTACGGAACGGAAGGTCGTCGAGGAAATTCTTCAGAGGAAATTCCTCCCTCCGACAATGTATTTGAATATATAGTATTTAGGGGTTCAGACGTAAAAGATTTACACGTATGCGAAGCTCCAGCGCAACAACAATCTATCACCCCTCAAGTTCCAAATGATCCTGCAATTCTTGGGGTGAGATTTCGTAAAATAGGAATATTAAATAATAATAATAATAATAATAATACGTGTATAATATAGCGATAATTTTAAATAGGATTTGTCTTGACAAATGTCAAGTTATTTCCTACTTTTTAATCATTCTTTAATGATCTTGAATGATCATGAATGACCTTTAATGATATGATGAGGAAATAACAATTTCACGTCTGAATATATATATATTGTTGATAAATTATGTTGCCTTCCTTCTGATCTTTTATTATCATCAAAAAAGAATTATAATATTTTTAATATTATTATGAAGACCAATTCATACCAATAATTCAAATTTCTTACCTTTTATGATAATAATAAATAAAAAAAAATATATATATATATATATATACATAGACTACTGCTCCACGACCAACAAGTTTTCAAGGGTTTGCTCCACCACCACCATTAGGTGTACAACCACCACCTAACTTTACTGGGGCTTCTTTGAATCCTTTCTATTTACAACAAGTAGCTTCATTTCAACAACAACAACAGCAATACTGGCAACAACCACAAGTACCTCAACCTCAATCACAACAGGTATTTTTTTTTTTCCCTTACTGACTACAAAAATTTTTTAGATAATAAGAACCCACTTTTCATAAACTTGAATGTTCTTTTCATTTTTTATTTTTTTATATATATTTTTATATTTTTTCTTTTATCAGCATAATAATAATAATGATAATAATAATAATAATAATAATAATACAAAAGTTGTGAAAAATGTTCGTTCTTTATTTCTTTCACTATCTTCATTTATCATCATATCATCATATCATCACAATCATAATCTATTGTTAATCGAAATTCATTATATTAAAAAAAAAAAAAATCGTTGATTTTTTCTGTGGTACGACAGCTCAATAATCTCTCCGAAAGTACTGCTAAAGAAGCTGAACAGCCAAAGTCACAACAACAGGTCTGCAATTTTGGCAGCAATTTACACTTGATTACCATGGTCCATGTTTCATACCAATTCCTAACTACTTGAATACAGAAAGAACATGGTGCACCAGACAAGGTAGAAGACCACAAAACGGATAAACAAGCCACAGCACTGAAAAATTTCGTCAAGACGGGAACTAGCACACGGTCCACCGCGTCAACGTCAACATCCAATAACACTAGAATTGAAAATACGAAAGAAGCACCGTCATCGTCAACGGCTGTGGCGGTAGAAAATCTAGCTAAAAAAGTTAGTGAATTAAGTATAACTCCAAAAGAAACTAATGGGGATAAACCAGGAGGTGAATAAATATTTTCTAAATTTTGAATTCTTATAAAGAAAAAAATTTAAATTAAAATGATTAATTCATTGGATCGATCTTATTATTATTATTATTATTACTTTATTATTATTATTATTATTTTATTATTATTATTATTATTATTGTTATTTTTCTTAGTTGTAAACAACAACCGATCTACTCCCAGTAATAATAGGCTTCCTGGTATGGGCGGTCATTTAGTTCAACAAAATCGTAGAGCTCGTGGAGGTAGAAGAAATTTCAATCCAAACTATGATCGTAATAGGATTCCGGTTCCACAATCAGACTTCGATTTTGAATCTTCGAATGCTAAGTTTAATAAGGATGAACTCGTTAAAGAAGTTGTTAAGAAAATAGTTCCTAACCATGAAATTAAGGATGATGAAAGTTCAGATAATAATACACTTGGATTAGAAGAGGAAGAAGAAGATATTTTGATACCACCTGCCGAAAGTTATTATGATAAAGCGAAATCATTTTTTGATAATATTTCTTGTGAGACAAAGGAACGTTTGGAACAACAAGGTCCCGATGGACGGTGAGTTTTAATTTTATTTTATTTTATTTTATTATATTTTATTTTTTAATTAGAATTAGAATTAAATATTGAATAATCTAAATTTCTTCATATAATTCATGAATTATAATTTTATAGTCGTGGATTATCTGTTGCAGAACGACGACAAAAACAATCAGAAGAAAGGCGTCTCAACCTTGAAACCTTTGGACAAGTTTCTATTGATGGTGGAAGATATCGTGGAGGTTATCGTAGTCGTGGTTATCGAGGAAGTGGTAGAGGGGGTTACCGTGGTGGTCGTGGTAATAGTGGATATCGTGGAGGATATTCTAACAATTATCGAGGGAATAATTATAGGGTATGATAAATGAAGTTAAAAAAAAATGTGGGATTTATTATTTTATTCATTTTTTTTTTATCTTACTACTTATTTATTGATTGATTATTAATTATTCATTAATCATATATTTAATTAATAATTCTTTTAAACAATAGGCAGTACAACCACAATCATCATGATCACAGAAAACAAGAAAATTTATATAATTAGCACATTTTTAGGTGTCTTTTGTATTATTTGATTTATTTTATTTCACATTTTCAAAATCATTGCTTATTTTATGTGAATGTTTATTATTCATTATTTAATTATTCTTATTCATATCAACAATTCTTTTTATCATCTTTACTACATATTTCCTTTATTTTTTTTTAATTATCTAATCAGAAATTTGTATAAAGAAAATTTACGGAGCTTTTATACACAAAGAACAACGATGAAAAAAAAAAACAAGATAATTCAACTGTCTTCGGAAGATGAAATCCAAAAAAATTATTTATACCACAAGAAAAAATTTTTCTTTTTGGATAGAATACAAAAAAAACAAAAAGTTTTCAACGATAATTTGAAATGTATTTGTAGACAAACACAGGTGGTGGAATTTTATTCTTGACTAATTCCATCCTTATATATTATCTTTAAAAAAAAAAGAAAAAAAAAATTAATATGAATTTTAAAAGATGATCTGATTAATAATGGATTGTAATAATTTGTCTTCTTGTATTAATTACATTTTTATTGAATTAGAATATCTTATTGGAATTTTTTCTATTTCCTGTAATATATATATATATATAAGAAATTTTTCCAAAGAAAAGATATAAATTTGGGATCTAAATTTTATAAATAAATTCTTTTTAAATGCACCAATCATATCTACAGTAATTACAGTAATTGTTTATTTTTAAAAAAAAAAATGCAACTAATTTTTGAAGTTTACTGTGGAAAAAAAAAAAATAAAAATAATAGAAATAATGACTTCCGAAGTACCTTTACACGTTGTTATACGTATTCCTTACAAAAGACCCGCAGGCTTTGTAGATCCTCCTTCTGTATGTTCAGGAAAAAACCCAATTTTTTCTTTTTGTACTTGTTACTTATTTTTTTATTTTATTTTTTACTTTGCCTAGGTTATTTGGACAGAAGAAATGGAACAAAAATTATGGGAAATTCTTACTTTAAATAAACGATCAAATATAGATTGTTAGTAAGTTCTAAACTTTAAAAATTTAGTATAATCATATTAATTTTCAATGAAGAAAATTTTTTTCGAATTTCGAATTTTTTGGGAAATAGGGAATGCAGCCTCTAGACTATTGAATGTTCCAGTACCATATCTTTTACGATATGCGGCTTTTTTATATGAAACTCAACTTCGGGGAGTTCAGATGCAATTACGTTTAGGTGAAGCAATGAGTAGTAGTGGTACCTTGAGCAGTCGTAACAGAGCTCCAAGTTGTAGGTTTTTTTTTTTTAATAAGCGAATTATTATCTTTGATATTATTCTTTGATATATTCATATACGTACGTACTTATATCTAAATCTATTAGTAGGTACTGGATATCAAAGGCCAAATTCAGCCTTATCGAATCATAGTAGAGAACATTATATGACATCGCGTGGTGTTTCTGTAGGATCACAAGAGATGGTACGAAATGGTAGTAATACAAGTTTATCGGATGGTCGAAAACCTACAAATGGGTCAACATCATCATCTATTAATAATGAAGCTGGAATATCTTCTCAATGTTTGTTTTTAATTTATTTATTTACTAAAATTTTATATAATTTTATTAATTTTATTTTAAATTTTTATTAATTTTCATTAATTTTTATTAATTTTTAATTTAAATATTAAATATTCTTTTTTCTATATATATAATATAAAATAGCAAAAACTTCATTGCTTTCTTTTGAGAACAAACCTTCCGCTACACCATCACCAACTCAAACAGGATCATCAACTTTACCTAAAAAAACAATGTCAGCATCATCTTCAGTTTCAACTATAACTACAATTGATTTAATACCGAAACAGACCACCCAATTTATTCAAGTTACTCAAGCCACTCAACCTACTCAAGTTACTTCTAAATTAGAAAATTTAACAAGTTTGGAATCTTCTTCAACAACAAATTCATTCGTAACTCCAGCAGCATCATTATCATTATCACCTAGAATTCATATATCAAATGAGAATCAAGAAACTTCTTCAACTTCAAAAAATAGTATTATTCATAGTGTTTACTCTGATTTAATTGGGGATGACGAAAGTGATAATGTGAATGATAATTCATTAAGTTTGAGATTAGCGGAATTAACCAAACAGAGTGTAGCAGCATTTTTACCTTCGGTTTCAATACCTGACGATGATGTAACATCAAATTTAAGAGAAGTCACAGAAATTTTTGATCCAATAAAAACCAAAGTTCCTATTATTGATAATTTACAAAATATTATTAAGTCGGGTTCAAGTTCAAGCAATTTGGGTACAAATTTAATATTTTTATAGATACATAACAGATGTTTCAGTAATCTTTAATAGTACCATTTTATTTTATTTTATTTTATTTTATTTTCAAGGACTTCAACCGACAAATAAACAAATTACAGCGGCAGATTCCCAACAATCCTTAAGTGCCAATGATTCAGCAAATTCTTCTTCATCTCTTAGTGATATTGGTAATAATTACTTTTTTATTATTATATAAAAATTATATTTTTTTCTATAATAATTCAATAATTTAATAATTTTTTAATTTAATTTATAGATTCATTAACACAATCAGAATTAGAAAATGCATATTTGGAAGATACAAATTTTAATAATTCTAAGATGTAAGTTTGTTATTTATTTATTTTTAAATTTAATTTAATAATTCAAATATAATTCACAAATTATTTAATTAGTTTTGTTTTAACTCTAGTAGAAAGAGTTCATATTATCCAGGCCCATAACCAAAAACATTTAATTCAAATATATTACAACTAGTGAATATTGCATCAACTTAACAATTAATTATTATCATTAATATATCATTTTTATTATATATGGTAAATGATCTCATTGTGTGAATTACAAAAAATGAATTATTATAATACCTGAAATATGATAAATACAATAATAATAAAGATATTATTTTGCAAAATGGAAAGAGCATATCATAAAACAATTTATTTTCTTAAAAATAATTTCATGATTACTAATATCTTAGAAAATTATTTTCTTTTCTATCTGAGGAATTATAATTTTATCTTTATTTAAAATTCATAACTCTGATCACGGTGTTAATAAATGTACTTTTAAATATATATATATATATCTTGTATAAAAGAAATTTCATAAATGCCATTTATTAACTAAAGACTGCTCCTGTTTAAAAACAAGTGGTAAAAACGATTTTATTGCGTTCGTTCTATCTAGCTGTTTCTTTACGCCTACATTAATCATACTCCATCGAGGATCAAGCGGCCAGGGAGATGTAAAAAGTAACTTAAATAATCTTTTACGAATTTCTTGCTCGCAACTAAAAGATCGAATACTTTGAATATAGATAGTCCTAGATAAATTAGTATCTTTATTATGGGATCTATTTCTTTTATCTCTATACTTGGATTAAAAGTACCAATATCAATATTGATACCCAGAATAATACCATTAAAATTCTTATAAAAGGCAGACTTAGGATGTACTAGAACAGGAACATCCTCATCTTTGATTTTTGTTTGTTTTGCGTTCTTATTTTGAATCGAATTGATACCATAGTTAATAGGTATAATGGTCAATAGAATATTTGAAAGGAATAACATGGAAATCCTAATGGCATCTTGAAAGCTGTGTGTCTGTGATAAGCTTCTCGAATAAGATTTTCCGATAAATATTTCTGTCCTCCTTGATTCACATACTGTTTATTGGAAGCTAACAAATATGTCCAGTGGTTAAAGCTAATTTCCGCCTGATCTATATTCATCTTTATAAGAAGATCATCAAGATCTTTATCGATTCCTTTACAAAACAATTTCCAATAGTAATTAAGAAAAGACTTAGAGCCTTTAAAAATAATGGCAGGGGAACCTTTTCCAAGTATATAATTGGTGGTACCAGATTTTTTCTCACAGCACGAATATATGCTTCCAGGAATAAAATGCGACTGAAAAGCTCTCCTCTTTCTCCTGCTTTAACTACTCCACGTTCCAACAGTGTATCTAAACAATTTTCAAACCCAACTTCGATGATTCCTTTTAATGCTCCAGATGCAAGGATAGGATCAGAAGGATATGTGCAAAGAATATCCGTACGATCGTCAGATATACCTATAGCAGTTGTCATATGAGACGCTACCAACATCTCTACCTCTGCAATTCGAGGGCAAACTTCAAGAGCAAAGGAACAGGACATATATGCAAGATTAGCAAGATAATCATTTTTTTTGTTTTTTATTAAAATTGCTAAAATTGCGAATTTTTTGTGAAGCCATGTACAGAATTTCGTTGTGATCAGTTCCAGCTTGAGCAAAAGATCCCCATAGAGGAATTCCTAGATATAATGTCCTTTGTGGATCATAAGATTTTCTAGATGACGCAAGTTTTGACAATGCATCTATAGTATGAACATCCAAATACGCGGGAAATAAAAAATATCATGCATCCTGGCAGACTGAGTATCTTTGATCTTTGAAGGAAGGAAATTGTCAATTTTTCTGTTTGTGCTTAGAAGGACATTAAAGAACCCATGCCATTTGATATTCTGAATTTGTCTCCTCCATCGAACAAAATAGGTCTCATTATTAGTAACTGGTGACGTGACTTTTCAAGCAACTCGTGTGCTTCATCAATGCAACAAACGACTGGGATCGGTATTTTTTTATCAAATAAGTCCTTTACAAAATTTCTGTTTGATAAGAACAAATTCCAAAACACTTTTCCAAAACTGGGTTCGTGTTTACTTTTGATCTGGTATTCCCAAAACTGTTCTGCGTTCCAGTTTTTATTTTTAATTAATTTGATTGTCTCAGATAAATGTATCCTAAACTTATTATCCCGAATTTTATCAAAAATTTTTGGACGTAAGGTGTTGAAACAGGATATCCACTACTATTCCGCTGACACTTACAGATATACAAGACGTAAACCCCTTTTGTTCTTAGCTCCCCACAAGTCGTGTTTTGCTAGAACCCGAGCTTTGAATGATTGTTAAGTAAGGATAATATGGTCTTCCTTCATTACGCCATTCATTATGGAAAAGTGTTAACCGTTCGTAGAAAGTGTCAAGAGCTTATCCTTGGTAATTGATATGAAATGCATTTTCAACACACTTTACTCCGATATTATCTGTAAAAAAACGCAAGGTATACAGAATAATAAGTTAATAAGAGAAAACTAGCTGTTTAAATTTCTTTTGACTATAATCTCTAATGCATTATCTTTTGTATTATATAACTCAGCGACAAATTTACTGTCCTCCAAGGTTTTATTCCCACTGCAAATGGTGATAGATTCTTTGATTTTCAACTACGCTTTGATTATTGTTATAAGATTATTCAAATTAAATATTCCGAATATTTTCAAGAAATTTTCTGGTAAAGCGACAAGTTCATCATTATAACGGATCCATATTTCCTTATCTTTTTTTGCAGTTAGATGGAACATGAGTAAAGACTATTCAGACACTTCATAATAAAATTCATGTATGGGTCACAACAATCAATTACCTTCAAGTTGAAATCCTACTATATCAGATGTCAAACTTCCTATTTCTTATATAATGAAAGAATGCAATAAATGAAATGACAGCAAAAAAATCAGTATAGATTTGAAATATCAGATATTATCGTGAAAAAAAAAGACACATTCACTATACATGTCATCAAAAGTAAAAAGCCTTTGACTCAATTCCTGAAATTATGACTCAATTCCAATTTTTCATGATTTTAATTGTATTTGGCTAAACCTAATAATTTTGATTACATGTATAGAATTCACATTAATCAAATTTATTATAACTCACTTACCAGAGGGTAATTTAATAACAATATGGATAGAATTATCTGAGATCTTGATAAATCTTTACCAAAAATGAGACAAAAGAGTTTTATATTATTAGACATTGTAGACTTGAATAAATTAGTAATTAAAATAATTAAGAGATTTGTAATTACATAATAATTAATAGAATTTCAATAATCAGAAATAATAATTATAATTAAGGTATAAATATTTTAGTTGTGACAATACAATCCAATAAATTAACTTTTGTGCTTACAACTAATGTTAAAAATTTTATTAACATTGAAAAAAGTAAACAATATAAATTTTAACAAATTTTTCTTTCAAGTTTAAAATGCTATTAGATAACAGATAACTGATAGTTTATTTATTTTGATAATACATGTTTCAAGTAGATTATACATGTCATCAAAACTATTGAATTGAGTTAAAAATTGAAAAAATTAAAATTAAGTCAAGTGAAATTTTCATTTTTACATAATAAATTGATATAATTATTAAATTAGATACAATTAAAAATTAAAAAAATTAGAATTGAGTTAAAGACTTTTTACTTTTGACAACATATATAATATAAGTATAACTGATATTCATTTTTTATTCTATCATTAATATTAGTTATACTTATATATAAAGTTAAAATTAGATAGAGCTACAAATGAAATTTTTTATATTATAAACAAATATTAAAAATGATATTAAGTAATCTTAAAAACAAAAATGAGTTACATATTATATTAAAAAAACATCTATTTAATTAAAATTGAAAGAAATATTATCAATTAAAGTTCATCATCAGGAAATTTAATTAGGCGTAGATTTACGGAAATATCACATGACCTCCGGAAATTTACGCCTGAAAAATTTAATTTTTTAACTTTGGCCGAGATTTAGGTGACAGGGAGTGATTTTTTACTAAGATATTTCTAAGATAGATCGAAAGCCCTGGTTTTTGGCTACAATATGATAGAAATTCACGTTTAAATTCAAACGTCCGTGAAAATTTATGCCATAATTTTTCCGGAAATTTTTGTGACGTAATAAAAAATTTCCAGCAGAATTACGAAAATTTACAGCATAAATTTTCACGGACGTTTGAATTTAAACGTGAATTTCTCCGCGAATATCGATGCTATAGTAATGAAACACATATCATCTTGTAGCAAAAAACCAGGGCTTTCGATCTATCTTAGAAATATCTTAGTAGAAAATCGCTCTCTGTCGCTTAAATCTCGGCTGAAGTTAAAAATCAAAATTTTCAGGTGTAAATTTCCGGAGGTCACGTGATATTTCCGTAAATCTACGCCTAATTAAATTTCCTGATGAATAGACAGAATTACAAAAATAAATGGCTATTTATAAAGGAAAAAATTTAGAATAAATTATTTTACCTATCCTTTAATATGGTGTTTTTGAAATTATTCCTGTTACTCATGATGAGTTAATCTTTTATATCAATAATAATATTATCAAGGCTTGAGGTCTAGTAAAAAAAATTAGCTTCATCGAAAAATAACAGGTCTTAATATTCATATAAACGAATTTCTTTGTAAATCAATTAGACGACTTTTGCTTTCAAGAGAAGAATGTATAATTAATAATTTATTATCAAATAACAAACAATTCAAATATAATGAAACCTGTATTATAATGTATTCTGGTACAAATCATAATAACTAATAAATAAATAAAGATATCATAAAACAAATAAAAGAACAAGCTATTTCAATATTTGAACATACTTACCCAGAAAAAATTACATTGTTTTTGTTTAACAACAGTTGCAATCATAATGTATTTGCAGGTAATGCATTATTGGTTTTAAAAATGAATATAAAAGATAGTAAAAAATAGCTACTTCTTCATAATGGTAAAATGTCCAATGGTTCACTTTACATTATGATATTTATAAACAGTAATGGTGTAATTAAGTCTAAAGATATTTAACAAATTCTTGAAAAACAGAATTTATAGATATTAGGATTAAAAAAAAAATGTAATATATGTACACAACATAATTCTGATTCAGTTAAATTAAACTGTTGTATAACTCATATTTTTTCTGCTTAACCTGATTTTGCATCACAAAAAATACATCTTCAAGAGGCAAGTTGTAATTAATAAATTAATTAATTATTTCAATATAAATAATTAAAAATACTTATCTTTAAGTTATTGAGATATTAGGACATATGTATATGTTCTATCCAAAGTTCCACTGTAAGCTTAATTATATTGAATCTTTTTGAACTGAAACAAAATGGTATTCATATCTTCATTACAATTATTTATTTAATAGCCTCAAAAAAGTTATTTCATGTATATTAAATTTAATTAGTTTAACAAAAATTCATCAGTTTGTATATCATTCTGCATATAATATAAATACTTATAAACTTGGACTCTCAAATAAAACAATTATTTTTGCTATTTAATGGTATTGGTTCCATTGTTAGGTTCCTGAAAATGTTTTGAAGGAATTTAGAAACATGTGATAATTATAGCTAGAAAATTATATACAAGCATATAATTTTTATTGGCCAATGATATTCCTGACATATGATTTCTGGGATACTAAAAGTTATAAAAATTATTCAACTACTATTAAAATTGTTATCATAAAAAATGTAATTACAAAAAATTTTTATAATAAAATAAATTAAAAAAATATATAATTTTAATGATCATATCAAAAGTTACAAAATTACATATTTTTTTTAATATTTTCTTAATTATATAAAATTCCTTTACATTTTAAAATTATTAAAAATTATTGGATATAACTAAGCCATTTGCACTATAATAAAATAATTAAAAAAAAAATTTTTTATTAGTAAAATTTCAATTTTCAAGAGTTAATTTCTTAGTAATCACTAATTCAATTGTTATAAAATTTAATATGTTTATTTTCCTTGTGTAATACTTTGACCTCATTTTTTATTTTGTTATATTTATTTTGTATACTTGTTAAATTTTATTTTTAATTTTTATATTTTTTATTATATTTATATTATCATTTATATTTAATTTTATTATATTTATATTTAATTAATCATATGTCTAATACTATTCTAGAATAGGTCATATGACATAAGATTACATTTTATTTATTACTTATTAATATAGATTATTATGTATTTTTAATTACATATATTTTTATAAAAAGATATAAGTTTTTAATAAAGAATATTAGTTTTTTAACTAATAAATTATTTAATATAATTATAAACTGTTAACTTCTTATGAAGTATTAATATTTATCAAGAATTTTTTGTTTGATATTATTTATATTTAAACTATTACCTGCTAGTTCAGAATTCTCACTACTTTCACCACTGACTAAATTATACGTGTTGCCCAAATCCCAAATCATTTGGGATTTGGGATGCCAAA